GCAGTAAAGTTGCAGGCCAAACAACCAGATGAGTTCAGCCCCGGAAGGCAGAGAGAAGAGATCACCTCAGACGGCAGAGAGAAGAGTTCGGACCTTGGCGAGAAGAGTTGCAGGACGGAAGAAGAAGAAGTTACTTGCAGTTGCGTCTAGAAGAAGTTGAAACCAGGCCAAGCCTGAGGGTGGAAATTCGTCCAACCCAAATCGAAGTGAAGAAATACGTCCAACTCAAGCCGAAGCGAATAAGCTCGTCCAACTCAAGCCGAAGAGAAGAATCAGCCGTGAACGACTGGTAGAGATTAGCGCCCAGTGTCGAAACCAAACCACACTCCGACATACAAAATTCTAGAAGTTGTATGATAGAAGCTTGGTGCCACAGTCCACAAAGCGGGTCGGGAAGTAAGAATAATTTTTATGTAACGAACATTAGATATAAAAGGTTGTTACCCTTTTTATCAGTAATTTTTTGGCCTCATGAGTTTTTCTTTTACTTGTGTATTGCCACCCCCGTCGAACTCAACTGGCATACGGCCCCAATCCCTGTTCCCGTCTGTCTAAGATCTAATCACAACGTGGGTAGGCAGACCGGAGATCAGTACAGTTACCCTAGTAACCAGGTGTTGGAAGCGAGTTGGGAACGGCGAGGCTGGTAATCATCTAACCAAAGGGTTGGAGCGTCACACTTGGAGCAGCGAGGAGCGAACAGCTGACGCCGCGACAAAAACGTCACGTCACAGTTGGAGCCGCGAACGAGATCGAACGACAGAGTCGACGCTGCGACCAGGAGGAGCGACGCCACAGTTGGCGCCGTGACCAAAGGATTCGACCCTGGACCAAGTGACGTCACAGTGCTACTTTTTACCCAAATACACTCAATTGTTTTTAAAAATACTAATTTCAATAAACAAATATTGAAATAAGAAAACTTTTTGCTTTAAATTTAGATTTTGTAATTTAATCACTTGAAATTAGTCCTATTCTACCTTATAATATTGCTAATTAAAATAATTAAAGTATTGCTTGTTACTATTTTTATTTTTAATTTTTCGGTGAAATGTCCGTCGGCCAAATATCCGTTCGGCTAAATGTCAGTCGGCCAAATTTCTGTTAGGCTAAATATCCGTTCGGCTAAATGCTTGTTCGACCAAATGTTCATCGGCCAAATATCCGTCGGCCAAATATCCGTCGGCCAAATATAAGGCCAAGCTATTATCTGAAAAGATTATTCTAGCAGTATGTGCAATTACATTATCGTATATCTGTTATATCCTACCAACCCAGTGCGTATTTTATTTTTATTTTTTGAGGGTAGGCCTGGTTTGGGAATAGATTCTCTTTCTTTTTCAGTGGGTTCTAACCATTGTAACCATATGGTTATAAAGAATTCATTTTTCGTCTCTGGTGATTATTGCACATTGGAAAGGCTCGGTAACTAGTCTTCTCTTCGGTGAGAATCAGATGGCAAACCTTTGATTTAGCAGAGAAATATTCAGAAGGTAAAGGACCAGCAGACACGTTCTAAAACCCTTTCCTGCATTCAATATTCAAAGAACTTAATCGTCCAGATCGGGAGGAATCTTTTAGAGAAGAATTTCCCGATCGCATTTGTCCCGCCATCGTTGACATAGCCGTACATATTAAAGTTTCACTCCCATAGAACACACCGAACAGTTCTTGACGCTCTCGGTCATGAAGGCTAGTTTGGGAATTCTGTGGTATTGGTCACTTTGTTCAAAATAGCCGAGAATTAGGAAGGCCGCAGTTAGAGAGAGAGAGAGAGAGTATCGAAAAAACAGAAAACTAGGTAGGAAAAACAAAGAAGAGGTTTTTTATTAAATACTCATACATAGAATGGGAAAAAAACTCAACTACTCCTCAAAACCTACTCTAATGTGCCTACTTGCCATATTTATAAATAGGAATAGTGTATTGTCTGAGTAGAAGGGAAGAGCAGGAAGTACACTGAGCTCTACTCAACAACAAATTCATAGTGTCTAATAATAGTCCAATTGAAACTTATTTTAAAGGAGTAAAATCGTTACGGAATATATCCACTTTGACATTACGTAATCTGTAAAGAGAGTAAAAGATTATAAAGTAAAATCTAATGATTATTTTAATGTACGTATCAAGACTTTAACCTCAACTCATATAAAAAATACGACAGGACTTTCTTTCCAACTTAATAATAGGCCATCAGACAATTTATAATTATTATATGCTTTATTTGTTTCTCTGAAACCGTCAAGTAATTTAAATGCATCGTGGTCAGCCATTTTAATTGCTAAATTGGCTCTTTTATTGATTATTGAACACGGTATAAAGAATCAATTTTTTTTTCGCTCAAATAGTCCTCTATTCTGTCTTGTTGGCCTCATCTTTTCCACTGAAGTGAAGTGGAATGATTCTGTTGAATCAACTGCAAAGTCAGCTGATAGGAAAATTGGTTAACTGTGACCAATTTTCTTCGTCTGAATCTATCTATCTATCTATCTATCTATCTATTATTATTATTATTATTATTATTATTATTATACCACTTGATTCCTTGGCGTACATAGGGCCACAACAACACCTCTCCAACGGATGAGGTTCCGGCATCCTCGGCCACGTCGTTGTTCCAAGATATCGTTGAGTCAGTTAAGTGTAGGTTGTTAGCTTACTGCACAACCCCCCAACCTGGAGGATCAGAGTGTGTCTTTCGGCTGGATTCCTACCCGACAGACTTGTTGAGCCTGGTTGGACCTGCTAAGAGATAAAGTCCCCGCCCTACATTGCTCTGGGGGTCGTTGAAGCAAGCAAGCCGTCCTACCACGTCAAGGCGACACACCATCAGGACAGCAGAATCTATCTTGCACTTTTATAAAACTACCACTCGTCCGTGAATTGAATATTGCGACCATATCTGGTCTGGTGCTCCAGCCATATATCTGAAGATTCTCGACAAAATCCAAATCCTGACCTGGCATCTCGACTTGCCGTGATGTGATTTCCATGTTCTTTTTTTTTTTTTTTATATAAATATTTTAACGGAATTTTTTCTAATGAGCTTTCTTCATTGATACGCTGACCGCATGAATTTAAGCGTAATACTAGATTGGCAATTAGGTCTCATAGTTTTACTGTTGAAATAGGGCTATAATCGTAATTTCTATCTTTTCTCGCTCTTCTCGTCTGTGGAACTCTCTGTCGGTTCCTTGCTTCCCTGTCACCTACGATCTTCAAAATTTTAAATACAACGTCAATCGCCATCTTTTGTCTTTCTGAATTTTGTTCTTTTCATTGCCCTTACTCCTCAGTAAATTCTTCTCATTCTCCTCCACTTCCAGTAACCCTCTACATTTTAGTCACATTAACGCCTTGCTTGGGGTGAAATGATGAACACCTGTTAAAATAAAAAAAAAAATGAAATTTCTTGTTATATCATTTTGAAATATTAATTAGTGGCTGAAATCCCAGCATTATAGAGATTATTTCCCAGCACAAATATTGCCGCATATATTTTCTTATATAAAGATATGTTTAGTGTTACAAAACTTTATCACTACCATAACAAGACAAAAATTAATTCTATTATTACCACTCATAGTGATAATAAAAAACAAAAATGAAAAACGGGCTAGCTAACCGGTTTCGTACTTCGCTCAACAAAGCTAAATCGAGGTTAATAAAGTAAATTATTTAAACAAAATAGACAAAGTGTATTGGGGAAAAAAATTAGATGTTAATTAGTTGGAAGCCTAATACAAAGTCCTTCTGTTTACATAGAGAAGGCTTTAATCATAGAATATAGATGGCCTCCAACACTTTTAGGTGGTAATTAGAGTGTGACTTACTAAGGATGGTAAAAGCGTCACTACTAAAACTAACAGCACAATTATGGCTATTTATAAGGTGTTCTGCGATGGAAGACATATACGTATTATTCAAAATGTCCGAGGGAGTATACTTAAGGTTTCGCATTTTCTCTGGAACGTGTTCTTTTATTCTAACATCCATCCTTTGTGTCGTTCTCCCTATGTAGTGCGAACCGCAACTACATTTAAAAGAATAAATTAAAGAACTATTATGATGTGGAGGGAGAACATCCTTACGCATAGACGGAAGGATAGGCTTTTCTTTTATATCAAGAACATGGTGACGTTCATTCGAAGATTTTGTGATAATAGCGTTCACTATACAATAGAAACTATGGAGACGCTGTGTGGAATAATACTAGCTTCAGAACGAGGCGGCGAACAAACATAATCGTTAGTACATCAATGTAAGCAATGCGACTTTCTTTTTTATTATCGATTGCGGTTTTAAAATCAGAAGATAAGCAAAAAAAAGTCTTTGCAAATCCTTAAGATATCGCATTTTCACTTTTACTATTATATAAAATATTTTAAATCATTTCATTACAATGGTTTCTTTTATCACATCGTCCTAGGTATGAAGATAAACTATATCCGCGTCCAGGGTAAGACGATAAACTACGTCCAACAGCAAGGCTTCTGATCAGGAGGTTTTGAGGAGCGTGGAACCACCTCTTAATTGCTGGTGTTCCCATGTCCACCCTGATCCGCGGTGGTAGCACCTGTTAGGGTCCTAGCTATGGGCAAATAGTTAACCCAGAAACTGAGGTAAAAAGCATTATAAAAGTGTTAAAATAAGTTTTAATACTATAAATACTTTTTTAAAAAGTATTACCAGAAATACATTTAAACCTGTTAGCAGCAATATATTTTTGGAAATAATATTACCAGCATTACGTTTTTGAAAAAATATTACCGGCTATACATTTTGAGGAAAAAATATTACCAGCTATACATTTTTGAAGAAAAAATGTTACCAGAAATAGATTTTTGACAAATCAAAATATTACCAGGAAAAAAAATATTGTCGGCATTAAATAACCCATTGAGGTGTTGATATGCCGTAAAACGAAACAACCAAACCAAACTTTTATCACAACACACAGACTTGATGCACTCTTTATTAGTGGGCTTACCAGCACATAACGCTGAGACACTGGTTTCCATAGAATCACTGAAGTTAAGCCACGTCTAGTCTGGTCAGTACTTAGATGGGTGTCCGTTTGAGAATATCAGGTGCTGTAAGCTTGTCTGTGCAGGTGGTGTAGTGGATAATGGATCGGAAATGGTAATCGGAGAGACGAGTTCCACTTCTGGTCGGGTTCGTTATATTAAGTTACTTGGAAATATCCTTGGGAAACGTATGAACCCACCATTTATCCCCCTGCTATGGGTTCATTAGTAAGACTTGTGTAACTAAGATGATTATTATATCAAAAAAATTCTCACAATCTAAAAATATTTTCTGGCTTTAAATGCAAAGGGTTGATAAACCGTAGAAAATGAATGCATCAGTCAATCTTTATTAATGCGATTTAATTTACTAGGATTAGTCTATTTTATTATATTTGAGTTTTTATCACGACATATTTCAGTTAATATAGTCTTGTGTTGCTAGAATACACAGCGTGGAAACGGAAATAAAAATAATCCTCCCAAGGAAAATCAAAACATTACTTACATTATTCAGACTCTTATCCCCATCTTCATTGCCATATTCACAACGTTTCGGCCGTTGTACACTCTGGCCGTCTTCAGGTGATTGGAATTTTAAACCGAACCCTTTATTTCGTCCACCGAGATAGATTGTTCTAGTTCCATGTGCCATGCCTCTTCAGGATGTTTCAGTTATTTCCCTTTAACTCAACTCTCCAAGTTTTTTTTAGATTTGGATAGCCTGGTATTGAACTCACAACTCTTGGTGTCTAGCACTGGATCTAACCAACGTCCCTATCCACTGGACTATGAGTTCAACACATGGTCCAGTGGATATAGACGTTGGTTAGTTTGTAAATCCATTTGCATGGTCTTCAATAGTAGTGCTTCAAACATGACTTCCTAGCTTTGGTTGGTTACCGGTCTAGAAGAATAATTCAGAATACAAAATAGGGGTTGAGTGTGAAAATAGAAGTCAACACATAGACAGACTGTTTCATGCTAGATACACGGGTCAGTGGTGCATTGTGGGTAGTCTATTTTGGCGGTTATTTTACCGGAAGTCGTTCATTTGTTTATTTATTTATTTGGGTTAAATTATTTTGCTTGTTTTTATTTATTTTTTATTTTTATTTCTTATCTTATATATTTATTTTTTTATTTTTTTATTTTTATTTTAATCAGTGTTTTTATTAACGTATTAAAATTTATTAAATAGTTTTGTTTTGGTTTGGGAAGATAAAGCTATTTATTCAATTTTGAGGTTGATTGTTGTGGCTTATTCTATTATTTTGGCGGGGACAGTTTTTAATTTGTTTATTACTTCATGTATTTATTTGGATTGATTATCTTTATTTGTTTTTTCTGACGGTTAGTTTATCGGGATCAGTTTGTTAGTTTATTTATTTGGATGAATTTAGGTCAATTTATATAACTTGTTATTATTTATTTGTCATACAGTATATTTTCTCTTTTCGGTTTTCGATTTTTAAGTAACTTGGTATTTTTTGCACCACTGACCCGTATATATATAAATAGCAGCAAAATAACAGCACTCGTGGCCTGACGATTGCATCTAGCATGAAACAGACTGTCGACTCTAAGTGTTGACTTATACGTTCACTTTTATAGTTACACACGCTCTGTCTCTGATATTCAGCACTTTATCCCATAAATATAGCACATCTTAAGACTATATTTCTTCATATATATATATATATATATATATATATATATATATATATATATATATATATATATTAAATAATTAAATAATATAGACAAGTTTTGTCTATTTATTTTATGTAAATTCTTTTCATATCGTCTGATAAGCTTAATAATATTATTATTAAAAGAAGAAAGAAAATCACAATATTGATACATATTTTTTTAATCCTATCTAAGATTTCGGTTTACGTAATCTATTATCAAAGATGACAATTATTCCGGAAAATCCTCAACTATAATTAAACATGAAAACAATAAAAAAAACTAAAAATTCTTGAAGCTGTATACATAAAACTGTTGAAACCTAACCTGAACAAAATAAACTATGAAATCTCCACAAATATTCTTAAATGCCTATAGTTTTTATCAGAAGCCATTGCTTTATACCAACGGCTTCCCATACTTAATACTTTTCGTTTTCACTCTCACTTAGTCATGTGTGACGTCATGAGCTACGGTGCGATTTTCGCTTCCAGCGTCTCATATGCACGATGTTGTCGTTGCTTGGAAATCTTCCATGTAAACATAAACAAACTATCATTATTGTTTTGCCCGCGTATTGGCTGATATATTGTAATGTAATTTTCATCTTTGATAATGGCTTATGTAAGCCGAAAGCTTAGATAGGATTAAAAAATATCTGAATATATATATATATATGAAAAATTTCTCAGAGTTAACCTGTAGAAAAAAACAATATCTATAAATATAAAACACAATAGGAAAACTGTAACAGTTGCCGACGCGTTTCGTTCAATGTCAAATTAGACGAAACGCGTCGGCAACTATTACAGTTTTCTTATTGTCTTTATATATATATATATATATATATATATATATATATATACCCATGGGAAAGGTATGAACCCACTTCTTCTCCTCTCAACTATATGTTAATTATTATATCCAAAAATTTCTTACAAACAAAAAAATATTTCGGCATTAAATAACCTGTAATAAACCGTAAAAAACAAACAATCAATCACTCTTCTCCCTCATCTATGGGTTAAATAGTAAATCATTATTATTTCCGAAACTTTCTGAATACAATATTCATTCGTAAAACAAGTATTATTCTTATAAACCAAAAATATGCTTCGGCTTTAAATTATCTAAAATGGTTGATAAGCCGTAAAAAATTAATCTATTCATCAGTATTTCCTTTGAGTACTTTGTGTCCATTCAATGTACATCTCATCTGAATTGTTTGGTTGTCTTTTTGTCTTTGGAACCAAATTCAGAAAAGGAAACCATGAATTCTCGTGTACCGTCGATACGTCTTTCGATGTCTACTGTGTCAAATAAATTATTCACTTTCTTATGAATCACTTGCTCTCAAATTGTTCCCCAAGGACGCATTTAATTGCTTTTGTGTCATTCCGGTCCTCTGCTCCAAGTGTCTGGCCAATTACTTCCTAACACTCGTCCACTACGGCATCAATTTCCAGTCCGACCCCAGGGCGAAGAACAAAGATACCACATCAGAATGAAGCGCTTTTTCAATATAAACAGCACGCTATTCACAGCACTTAAGTTAATCAAAGTTCATCATAATATGATCTACTGATCCCCACAGAGGATTAGCCATCAAACCTATTCATATTTATTCGATATACTAATATATATCGTAAATAGAAAACCTAAGGGGAATGTTCGCAGGGTGAATTAGCAAGGATTACGGTTTCTCAAGGCACATCTATCAAAATTCATCTCTTAGTATTGACGAATATATATATATATATATATATATATATATATATAAATATAGACATCAGAAAGTGATGTAATTGCTTTCTGTAGGGAATACGCAGTCGAAGAGCAATGTGCAAATTACATATGATAGTTTTTCTTATGGAAGGCAGGAATCCACTTCTCCCTGCATTCTGTCATACACCGATCGATAAATACAAGAGTAAGCATTTGGAAGTTCAAAGAAAAGCGGCTGACACTTTTGACACCAGCACTTGCCAAACCTCTTCTTTTTTTGTAACGCGTTCATTCAGGACGTGTGCGATCATGACTCTCCACAGCTTCCTATATTTTTTAATAAGGTTTCTATTTTCATCACCCTTCCCAGTTCGTGCCATGCCATACTTGTTAGGTAGATTGCTCACGGCTCTTCTCTCTGTTTCTTTCCTCCAATATGTTATGTGAGGCTATAACTCTCCAAGCCCTCTTTCCTCATTATGTGTTCAAGAAATTTTAACTATCTCTTTCTCATTTTATGTATAAGCGTCCATTTTGTTTCCATTTTTCTTAGAACTTCCTCTTTACTCACATGCTCAGACCATGGTATTCTCAACATCCTTCTGTAGAGCGTCCTGAGTACGACAATAAACGACGTCCAGCAGCAAGGCCTCTGATCGGGAAATTGGAGGTTTTGAGGTGCGTGGAACGACCTCTTAACAGCTGCTGTTCACCCTGATCTGGGGTGGTAGTACTTGTTAGACTCCCAGGGCACATAGTGAACACTGATACAAAAATCAAAAAAAAATTATAATAAAATGGACAACAATACATTTTTATAGCAAAACGACAATCAATGCAACACTAAAAAAAATATAAAAAATACATTTTACAGTAAAATTGCCAAAAAACACATTTTGCGATCTATAAACTATATATTTAAAAAATACCTTCACACCGAAACTAGAAAATTATGTACAAAATATCTGTAATTGAAAGCATGAAATGACGGCGTTCTTGGTATGACGATAAACTAAATCCGCGTCCTGGGTAAGACGATAAACTACGTCCAGCAGCAAGGCATCTGATCAGGAGGTTTTGAGGAGCGTGGAACCACCTCTTAATTGCTGGTGTTCTCATATCCACCCTGACCCGGGTTAGTAGAACCTGTTATGGTATCGGTAAATAGTTAACCCCCAAACTGGGGTCAAAATACTATGAAAGGATAAAAATAGTTTTTAATACCTGAAATACTTTGTAAAATTTATTACCACCAATAAATTTTTGAAGAAAAATTATTACCTGCAGTACATTATTAGGAGCAATATGTTTTTTTTTTAAATAAATATTACCAGCAATAAATATTTTGTTGGCTTTAAATACCCCATTGAGGCTGATATGCCGTAAAACAAAACAAAACAAACATTTTTTAAAAAATTATTTACCAGACATACATTTTTTGAAAAAATAAATTACCAGACATACATTTCTGAAAAAAAATTACCAGCCATACATTTTTTAAAAAAATAAATTACCAGCTACACACTTTTTGAAAAAAAAGTACCAGACATACATTTCTGAAAAAAATTACCAGCTGTACATTTTTTTGAAAAAATATTACGAGCGATACATTGTGAAGAAAAAAATATTACCAGAAATAGACTTTTGCAGGGAAAA